ATAAACTACATGGATAGGACAAATTTTGTTATATTTTTATATCAAACCATGAATAAATGAAAACTATGTACAATACACAAGAAACAATAAACATGATATAGGCCATTATAAATTTATAACTTCCTTGTTCCAAGTCTATTGTAAACAAATTAAACCGAAAGGAGAAAAAAACACAAATTGATTACCAAAACTACATGTGTGTAGCTCCTAAGTTGTTATTTTTCTAAATTGACTTTGTAGACTTATACTGTAATTACTTTCTACAGTGACTCAGAGCATGCTGAGGGCTTCCAACTTCTCAACCTCAGTCATTTCCTTCCGTTCCGGTCCACTGGCGATGAACCCGGGGATATCAAGACCTAAAAGTTCAGGGCTAACTTTAGAACCAGCAAACACATATTACTTTTAAATTAAACTAGTTTTACTTTTTTAAAGATACTTAAAAACCCTGTATGAAAAGGAGTACTGCAGTACTGAAGTGTATTTTAAGAGATCAGAATGGGGAACTATTTTTTCTTTGTGACGATTTGGAACAAGAAGGGTAACTCTGGTTGACCTCTAGATATTTTCCTACATTTTTATGATGACACAACATGTGGTATTACACTTCTCCATGGCAAACTTAATTAATAGTCATATTACATTAGGCCTAGTATACATCTATAATATGCAATTATAATCAATGTAATCATATTGTAATAATTTGTTCATGCCCCCCGAGGGCCCTTGATTAAAACATATATATTCTATTTTAGTACTTAATTAAAACTTTTCAAACCCTTCATTATAGGATATCTAAATTAGAACATTGTTTTGAAAAATTATTTTATATATAAGTGACCTATCTACATGATCTACTATCAGGATACTAATAGTATATATATAGATCCCTGTCGACATTGAATCACACTTTGAACAGAGCACATGCAATGGGTACAAGTCAGAACGGTGCACCAACCCGACGTGGCACTTTTGAAAAGTCAAAACTACACTTTTTTATTTTGACAAGTTGATATTGTTTTTACAGAAAATAGATCTTTATATTACATTTATAGTAATAAATGTGTTTACAAATTATTACATGTATTGATAAAAATGTTCAAAAAATATTTTAAGAAAAAAAAATAGACTAATTCATTTGAAAATTATTATACTTTTGTACAGTGGTTAATTTTTTTAATTGTACCAGGGACCTATATACTAAGGTTAGCATATACTAGCTAGTACATGTACACCATGTATATCCCAACATGTGGGGTGTATGCTATGTTGTGCGCGGGGTGTGTGCTTCCGAAGCGAGAGAAAGGGGGTCAATGTACGTTCTTTGTCCATTTTCTCAATTTACGGATATTTTTCGCCAGAAGCATATGCCTACGGAAGATTTTTCAATTAGCCCCCCTTTCAAATTTGTTTATAATTTATTCAATTTGACAAAAACCACGTGGCGCCTACGTCATACACAGGCACGTAGCATCGATTTTGAAAGGGGGGGGGGCAACCTGAGAAATTTTTTTTTACTTACTCAAAAAAAGTTGACAAGTAATAATAAAAAAAAATTTAAAATTGCCCAACCTCGAAAATCCTATTTCGTTGGGGTTGGGGGGGGGGGCAACTTTTTTTAAGGCCAACTTCCTTTCACTTCCAATTTTTCCCAATATTTCCTTGCTATATATATATATACCGTGGTAAAAAGTGGGGGCCAACCATCTTTTCAATGGACATTTTCTATAGAAAAGGCATTGTTGGGGAAAAAAGTGGGAGGGGGGGGGGGTTGCTACGTGCCTGATACATGCAGTATCACATAGATTTTCATCTATTTATTTTGAATGCATCACGTATGAAGTTACAAATATTTCTTGTAGATTTAACATGCATCTGCTGAATTAAGAATTTCATATAAGATAAACATGTAATATTTAAAAGTGTATATACAAAATCCACTTCTTATAGTTGTTTATAAAGAGGACATACAAATAAAAAATGATGTCCATCTTCTACAACAGTTTGACAATTAATACAAATATATCTTCCATCTCTTGGTATAATCGGGTAATACAATATTTGCCAATTAACCTTTATCTGTATAATTTGTTGGCACTTATTCTCAATCGAGTCAAAAAAGAACAAAGATTCTTGGAAATGGAAAAATTAAAGTATGGCTGGATTTCAAGCTTGTTTAGATTTCCCTGACTTATTAACTGGCTGTAGAATGATAATTTGCCATTACCTTTTTTTTATATTCATTATATCCTTAAAAACTGTATTCTCGGATACTTTTTCAAATTACTTTTAAAATCATTTATTGATAATGTATAAGCATTTGAACCAATAACTTTATCAAGTATAGTTTGTATACAGTTTTGCCATACTCGGATGCTTGTAGTTCTGAAATTTACAAACTCAGAAAGAGGAAAATGTGTTCAATCCCCCCTCGATTCTCGACACATTGTACTGTGTCAGTACAACCACACACTATACATCCTAACAAAGAAGTGTGGATCAAGTTGCCTTGTCAAGTTGGAATGTTCAAGAAAAAATCGTTGTCAAGAGAAGTGTTGACTAGATCAAATTAGCCAGGAATCTGCAGGTGGTCTTAAATTGCACAAGTACACAAAATTGTCATCTTTTCTCGCCCACAATTAAATGCAAAGCGAGCACTATGCCAGGTAATACGTGATATAAAGATATAGGCATATGTATAAGATTTTGAATAAATTCTGCTTCATTTGAATACAGTGGTACCGGTCTGCTAATAAGGGCGCGCAATTAGTAACTATGAGAGTTCCAACAAATTGTTGAGAGATCTGGTCTCCAAAAACCAAAATATATATTGTTAATCAAAATCTCAAGCATCTTTTTGATATCAACGCTGTGAACGTCAGAGTCCCTTGACATCCTCTGGTCGAAGAAATGTGATAAATAAGTTCATAAAAGACATCGTCTGCTTCCATGTTTTTAATGTGTCAGTCGAGCCTACGTTCTCCTCAGTAACATTATTATAATTATACCCCCCGCTTGAAAAGCGGGAGGATATATAGTAATCGTTAATTCCGTCCGTCTGTACGTCCGTCCGTCCGTCTGTCTGTCTGTCCGTCCGTCTTTGGGGTACCCATCTCTTATCCGCAATTCCTCTTATACCACTGAATGAAATTTGATGCAACTTTCACAGAATCTTTATTACATATTGCCATTGTGCACCTCCTATTTTACTTTTTGATCCGACACATATTTTGGGTTTCCCGGCCATAGGAATTCATGGACTTTTTCAACAGTTATAACCATATGGGAGGCGGGGGGTATCATTTAGTGAGCTCATTGCTCACAGTACCTCTAGTTTATTTCGAGTTTTAATGCGAAAGTTTCGTGATTATTCACGAAAGTTTTTTTCGTTTTACGATTTTATTTCGATCGCGATATATTTTTTTAAGCCTACGGAAATTTTGAGCTCATGCATTGGGTATTCATACTTATAATTGGTTGTCGCTAGGTCTTTTATTCTCAACATCTGTATTCCTTGTAACGACACCGTCTCTCGGGATCCAAAAGACCTCACCTTGAGTATCAGCATTTTTTAAAATTTAATTAAATTTTTTAATTAAGAGATTGTCATACTTTTTAAACATTTTAACCCCGGACATAACTATTTGTTGATGGGAATAAGAGGAATAAAAAATATCGTTCTCTGGAATGCAGGAAAGAGAGAGAGAGATAGAGAGATTGAGTCCGGCAACTATTTTTTAATTTTTCGAAAGATGGTCTAGTATATAAAAATATCAAGAAATACAATGCTCATCACTTTATTATCCTTGAAGTTCTATGGTGTATGTAATCGTAAAATTATAATATAAAACATTTAAAAGTAACAATTAAATTTACATACAAACAATTGGACACTTTAAAAAAAATATTCATAGAATTGTCTAAGTCCTCATTTTGTTAATTCATTAATTTCTCACAAAGTTAAAACCTTTATAAAGACAAGCTCTGCTGAGAAATTATTTACACTACAGCGTACCATTAAAGATACTCCAAGCAACTAATATTGTATAAAATTAGTAGACAAGTCATATACTAGTAATCTACATACATGTTTGTATATATTCAAGCGGGATATTGAACATGATGGAAATTAGTCTAAGACCTCTTTATTAGATTGCGTTGACGTCACAAACTACTTTCTACTTTTCTACCACAACTTTTAGACTTTTATACTTTAATACTGAGTGATGTTAAGAATTATGCTTCAGGATTTTGATACACCAAATACAATGACATGTTTAACAGAGAGTAAGGGTGAAACGTTTACTGAATTTTGTAAACGTTTAAACGGATAGCAGTAAACGAAACGGTACCGTTTAAACGGGAGATATCCTATGTTGGATTTTTATGGCTGCTTACTCATGAAACTCGAATTTAATAATCAATTCTTTCACTTTAATATAAGTTTGAGTTGTTATTACAAATTTATTGTTGGTCTTTATGATTTAAACGTAAGAATTTGAGGCGCATTAAACTCATTCACTTTCTACCTCGTCACCCAACTGTTTGGTTTGTTTGGCTACCGGACATAGAAAAAATAATTGTAAAGATGGTTCTTTTAATCTCAAAAAAAGTAAAACAAGACCTGCTGACTGTATCTAAACTTTTCAAAGACTTGTGAAAAATGTATTATATTTATTTACTCAAAATATGTCAAGTTTTATATTTCAAGTGTCGTAAAACATCGCTAGTATTAGCAACTCGAAATTAATTAATATGTTAGCCCGTATCGGGTTTTAGATATTTCATTCAATATGCTTCCGGTTTAAATTGATGCTTATCAAATGGTCAAAGACGGTGTTTCTTTTGTAAATTATGAAATAAAACAATTTTTGAGTTCAACATTATTTCTGATAGACATTGATAATGACCTTCGTGTAAACGTTTACTCAAACTGTAAACGTTTAGAGCATATAATCGAAACGTTGCCGTTTACACGTGTAATCGTTTCGCCCTTAACAGAGAGTGATCTGTGAGAACTTTCGGTGACATGTTAATGGTCATCTTGATTCCTGATGAGCAGTGTTCGAATCATCTATTGTAATAACGATCTCTTGATCTTGATCTGCGGTGAGAATGGCGGTCATACCTATCAAAGTCTCGTGATCTCTCGCGATACGGCGGCGGATCACTGTATCGTGATCTCCGATGACTAGATCTTCTGTGCCTTTCTTCATCAGAGTAATCATCGTCATCGTAACTACGATCCATATATCGCTCCCGGGATCGACTGTGATGACGTTCCCTTTCACGTTCATAGCTATGGTGATGTCGTCCACGATGACTATCGCGATAATCGTTTCGCTGATCATCGTCGCTGTGGTACCCACGACGATTACTGTGGCTATGAGCTTCTGACCTCTTTGGCGACCTTTTCTCACTTCTGTAGGTGTTACGACTGCTAACAAGCCGAGCATCGTCACGTGAGTGGTGTGGATCATCTATGTCTTTTTTGCGATGAGGACGATGATCGATGTCATCTGAAATTTCATCATACACACCATGTGCATGATGTGAGGATGCATCTCGGACAGAGTGTGATTTTAACTGATAGTCTTGTCTACTGTTTGGGTGATTTGACTCGGCATCATATCGGGGCGGATCATATCGGCTAGCCAATGTAGGACCTATACAAAAGAAACAAGAAATTTTGGATGAGTATTGATGTCTTTAGCTGTTTGAATCAAACTGTGGACCATAGGTGCAAATACTATAAATTAATAAATAGGTGCAAATACTATAAATTAATACAATGTAAATACCTAGATGTATTTTTAAATCTGCACGGCGTCTGGCTTGCTTCTCGGCATATTTTCTACAGCAGACGATGATTACAATGAGAATAACGATGAAAGCAATGGCTCCCAGACAAATCCCGATGATAGGTCCGATGATGGGGCAGCAGTAACGATTCAGGGCAGGTCCGCAGCATCCAAAAGCGCAGTACTTCAGGTTCCGGTATATACTTCCGGCACTGTATACGCCGCCTGAGTTTGTGTAGCATTGCTCTGCATAAAGACCTAGTTTGACAAATAAAAGTGAAGATTTAATTCAGTTATCATTAAAAATCGACATTTGTATTGATGGTCAATTCCACTGCATTTAAGGAAAAACAGACGTCTCTGATGCAACTGTAGCTCTCATGCTACTGTCCATCCGATCATTAGTTCGTTTGTATTTTTGACAATCACTGGATCGATTCTGAATTACTTGTTATAAAGCATATTTGCCAGTTTTGTGTCGAATATTCTAATTTGCTCGATGAAGGGTTGTTTTCTCTATCAAAGAGAGATGAAGCATTGTTTAAAATTTAATGGCATCTTTCAAAAAATTAAATCTTTCACAAAAAAAAAAACAAACAAACAAACAAAAACAGAATGGACAAAAAAAAAAAAAAAAAAGAGATGATAAACCTGAGAACGATATAGTATTTTTCTGCCACCTACCTCGGAATCAGTTTTCAAACGTAAACACATATTTGAACAATATTTCTTAATTATATAAATATTTATGTGAATTTTCAACAAACAATTAATTTTAAAACAGAGATAATGATAATTTTGGTAAAACTTCAGTTTACAATAAACGAAAAAGGGGAAATATTAAAAAAAAAAATCCCCCAAGAAATAAATATATAATAAATATATTATTTACGAGTATTATGGGGTATTATGGAAAAAAATTTAAGGTCATTTATACAAGTATCCCCAATCCCTGAATATTTGAAAATTTGAAGTTGTTTGATTTCAAATTTTCAATTGATAAATATGTATATGAAAAGAGTTGTAAAAAGAAAAAAATAACATGTTGACAGTATTTCAAATTAACAAATCTATACTGCTAATAAAATGTGGGAACAGAGTGATGACGTACTTAGTTTTCGTTTTAAAGAAAATTCTTCATTTCTTATTGTAGAGACATTTTACTTTAAATCATGGTTCTTGCAGTTAGAGTGAGCGGTAATTGAGGATCAAATTTAACCTTTATGTGGAGATAAAAGTGTAAAGTCTTTTTAAAAAAAATCCCATTAACAGAAAAAAACTAAGATTTTTCATATTTCTATGGATCGAATTATCCTCGTGTGTAAAGTCTTTTTTTCAACTCATAACGCCAGGAGATTGGGTGGGACTACAATGAGCGGAAAAAAAATTACTCCTCTCCCTGTAGGTTAAATAACGACACAGACAGACAGATAGACACATAGGCAATAACACCTTACCACCATAAGCACGACAAACACAGACAGACAGATAGACAAATACATAATATACACCTTACCACCATAAACACGACAAACACAGACAGACAGATAGACAATAAACACCTTACCACCATAAACACGACAAACACAGACAGATAGATAGACAAATAGACAATAAACACCTTACCACCATAAACACGACAAACAAAGACAAACAGATAGACAAATAGACAATACACACCTCACCACCATTAACATGACAAACACAGACAGACAAATAGACAAATAGACAATACACACCTTACAACCGTAAACACAACAAACACAGACAGACAGATAGACAAATAGACAATACACACCTCACCACCATAAACACAACAAACACAGACAGACAGATAGACAAATAGACAATATACACCTTACCGCTGTAAACAACAAACACAGACAGACAGATAGACAAATAGACAATATACACCTCACCACCATAAACACGACAAACACAGACAGACAGATAGACAACTAGACTATAAACAACACCATAAACACGACAAACACAGACAGACAGATAGACAAGTAGGCAATAACACCTTACCTCCGTAAACACGACAAACACAGACAGACTGATAGACAACTAGACAATAAACACCTTACCACCATAAACACGACAAACACAGACAGACAGATAAACAAATAGACAATAAACACCACCATAAACACGACAAACACAGACAGACAGATAGACAAATTGACAATAAACACCTTACCAACATATACACGACAAACACAGACAAACAGATAGACAAAAAGACAATAAACACCACCAGTAACACGACAAACACAGACAGACAGATAAACAAATAGACAATAAACACCACCATAAACACAACAAACACAGACAGACGGATAGACAAATTGACAATAAACACCTTACCAACATATACACGACAAACACAGACATACAGATAGACAAATAGACAATAAACACCACCATAAACACGACAAACACAGACAGACAGATAGACAAATAGACAATACACACCTTACCACCATAAACACGACAAACACAGACAGACAGATAGACAATAAACACCTTACCACCATAAACACGACAAATACAGACAGATAGATAGACAAATAGACAATAAACACCTTACCACCATAAACACGACAAACAAAGACAGACAGATAGACAAATAGACAATACACACCTCACCACCATTAACATGACAAACACAGACAGACAAATAGACAAATAGACAATACACACCTTACTACCGTAAACACAACAAACACAGACAGACAGATAGACAAATAGACAATACACACCTCACCACCATAAACACAACAAACACAGACAGACAGATAGACAAATAGACAATATACACCTTACCGCTGTAAACAACAAACACAGACAGACAGATAGACAAATAGACAATATACACCTCACCACCATAAACACGACAAACACAGACAGACAGATAGACAACTAGACTATAAACAACACCATAAACACGACAAACACAGACAGACAGATAGACAAGTAGGCAATAACACCTTACCTCCGTAAACACGACAAACACAGACAGACTGATAGACAACTAGACAATAAACACCTTACCACCATAAACACGACAAACACAGACAGACAGATAAACAAATAGACAATAAACACCACCATAAACACGACAAACACAGACAGACAGATAGACAAATTGACAATAAACACCTTACCAACATATACACGACAAACACAGACAAACAGATAGACAAATAGACAATAAACACCACCAGTAACACGACAAACACAGACAGACAGATAAACAAATAGACAATAAACACCACCATAAACACGACAAACACAGACAGACGGATAGACAAATTGACAATAAACACCTTACCAACATATACACGACAAACACAGACATACAGATAGACAAATAGACAATAAACACCACCATAAACACGACAAACACAGACAGACAGATAGACAAATAGACAATACACACCTTACCACCATAAACACAACAAACACAGACAGAGAGATAGACAAATAGACAGTAGACACCTCACCACCATAAACACGACAAACATAGAGAGACAGATAGACAAATAGACAATACACCTTACCAACATAAACACAACAAACACAGACAGATAGACAAATAGACAATACACACCTCACCACCATAAACACAACAAACACAGACAGACAGATAGACAAATAGACAATATACACCTTACCACTATAAACTCGACGAACACAGACAGACAGATAGACAAATAGACAATACACACCTCACCACCATAAACACAACAAACACAGACAGACAGATAGACAAATAGACAATATACACCTTACCACCATATACACGACAAACACAGACAGACAGATAGACAAATAGACAATAAACACCACCATAAACACGACAAACACAGACAGACAGATAGACAAATAAACAATAAACACCACCATAAACACGACAAACACAGACAGACAGATAGACAAATAGACAATAAACACCACCATATACACGACAAATACAGACAAACAGATAGACAAATAGACAATACACACCTTACCACCATAAACACGACAAACACAGACAGACAAATAGACAATATACACCACCATAAACGTTACTGAATCTTTGACCAACAAAAATTAACTAGGTCATGAAGACTTTTGGTAGTTGTCAATTTATTACGGTGCACGATATAGAAAGCAAGTAAAAAATGATTTTTGTTCGCTGTTACCTAAAGTTCTTTTTCGAGTATTTGGTGGCTTTACAAAGATAAAATATGTATATTTATGGTTTTAACTGTATTTCGTAACATTAATTTTAACATCGTGATCGTCATATATGAGAAATTTCATCTATTTTACAACTATCCGATTGCAACAAGAGACAATTTCCAATTCAATTTAAGTATATATAGTCATTTGAAAAATATACATTTTCAAAAGTCCTACACGTCAGTATAGATTTTGTATTCAAATCCCCCCAAAACAAGGACATGATATCGTTTTTTTTCTTCCAGTTTTTGCATACCTGTGTACAGGTGTACATGCACAGGTAAACCGGAAAAAGATACACTCTAACTTACCTGAGACGAGAAAGGCTGCGGTGATTAAGATTTCATACATTTTGTCCATGGTCAGTTAATGATCTTTTCTATACTGTATATTCGAGGTTTGGGCATTATAACCAAGCTATGTCCAGTACACCACTCTCCACGGCTTTGTTTACGGTCGCCATTTTAGAACAGGTAAAAAAATCAATCAACATGCAGGGACCATGTCAAAAGCTGACGTATCGGTAGCCTGTAGGTATGATTTGTAATGACGTGTTTCTTCACAGCCTATTTGTTTATATTATTTGTATATATAAATATGCATGTTTTAATTATTTTATCCTTAAACATATCATATGTTTGTTTAGAATGTAAAAAACATGTATAGCATTTATAGCTTTCAAAAAAAAAAAAAATAAAATAAAACTTATTAAGGATTTTATAAGCGTTAAAAGTTGAATAATGCACTTGAAAAAAAAAAGGAAGAATAAAATAAAGTAATCACAAATAATAAAATCTAGAAACACCCGTAATACAATTAGTCATACTAGACAGAATTAAATAAATTTTTTTCAGAAGCTGGGTAGATCAGGCAACAGGAACATGTAATGCCTAAAAATATATAAAACACGTGAAGTAACGGTAAAAGATCCCCCTTTTCCTTACCTTTGTTTGTTTGAATTAGCATTGCCAATGCATAAAATTCTTTCGATTAAATACATGTATATATTTAGAAACAAAATTGACTTATACGGTATTAATTTTAATTTACTTAGCACAGCAAAATGCATGAAACTAAACCTGCGCAGTACAGTTAAGGCAACATTTTCTATAAAAACTCACGGATTCCGATACATATAATGTTTAACAGTTTTATTTTTTAGCAAGACACTCTAGTTAAAACAGATATTTGTGATCTTGAAGAGTATGTCCATCGCTTTTCACATCGGTATTTTTTGACATCATGTGACCCCCTGAAGTCACGTGGGCTCCGATTTTAGGTCAAAAAATGAAATGTCAAATTTAACCAAAAAGTGCAAGGGCAAGACAAACAAAAAATTAACTGCACAATGTTTTATGTTGTCTCTATGTATCTATACTTTCTCAAAAGTGATGCTCATTCAGTTAGTTTTCCGATATAATTAAGTTATTCAGCTAAAACAAACAGTAATGTATGAAAAATTGGATATTTTCCTAATTTCATCATGAATTATAAATTAACGAAAGAATTACAAAGTAATGAGCATCACTTTTTGAAAACTATACAATAAAATAAATAATTTAAAATAAAAACCTACTTTTTAGATTGTCGCCTTGCCCTTGCACTTTTTGATTAAAAAATGAAATCTTGGAAGAGTCAATCTAATTATAGTTTTCAAACGCATCACTGACCCAGCATGGAAGATAACTCTGGAGTACTTGATATAGTTTGCTTACCTCGTAAATTTAAAATAAATATACATGCGGGCAGGACTTGAATCTTTTTTTTTACTAAATCAAACGGTATGGATAAAAAATTCTTGACATTTCTTTCTTTTCTGTGTATTCGTTCTCCATACGTTGTATACATTTAATGTCTTTCAAACATCCCGCATTTCCTCAACGATGTGTATATACACGTAGTATTTCACACAAATAGGTATAAATATTGCCGATATATTTATGTAGAACACAAATGGTTAATTAAAATATAGCCTTCATTAATAATTAATTAGATATCTATTCCCCTCTCTCAATACTGTACGCATAGGCGTTGGAACCGGGGAGGGGGGGGGGGGGGGCTTAGCCTCCCTACTTAATATTTGCAAATTATATACATAATGTAGGCATTGGAATTTGCCTTTTTCTTTTGGCTTAGCCCCCCCCTTTCAATCAGCCCCCTTTCATTTTGCTTCCGACGCCTATGGTACACACACTTGTGTTTATATTTTTTTTCTTTCTGCATACGAGGTCATGTTCTACGATCGCTTTCAATCAGGCCGCTTACTGTTAATTAAGGGATATAAACTAAGTTATAAGTTTAAGGTACTAATTAGAAAGAATTGGGGTATACTCCTGTATTTGTTAAGGGGACAGCTATTTTATTTTGAGGGTGAGGGACTGGCAGTTTAAAAAATAAATACTTGCAGATCAGTGATCTCCCCCTCGAATCAGAGTTTTTTACATTTTTTTTTTTTGTATGTAGGATTTTCAATGAAGAGGAAAATAAATAATCTGTCCTTCATTTTATTGATCGGAAATAAATATTAATCTGTCCTTCATTGACATGAAAATGAAAAAAAAAAAATCTGACTTGGAAAAACTCGCCTGCCCCCCCCCCCCCCTTCCCTCAGAACAAATGGTGGTCCCCTATCCTATTTTGAAACAATTAGGGGGATCTCTAGTCTCCTGTTTTTTGGTGATATTATTGAAAGATAAATGAACGCAATGCACATGCTGGAAATAAGATCTTGATGATCATTAGTACCCTCCACACAAAATAGTAAGAAAGTTAAGATTTTCATATCTTAATGGCCTTTTCAACACCTGTACAGTAAATTTATGAAAAAGTCAAATTATTATTTATCTAGAAAATTTATTTAAACATTTCTTTTCAAATCCAGTGACAAACTGTAGGAATGCTGGGCAGGTGCAAATTATTTCCATCACATCATGTTCTTGTGGATAAAATGAATTCTGAAAATAGGAGAAAATCAGGAATTACCATTATTGAAAGTAATTTGTGTTTAAAAAATGAAATACAAAAATGCATGGAAACATTTAACATAGAATTTACATACATGTGTAACGTGAAGCGGTCACCCTTCCAGGGGTTGAACAGGCTCGCCGTTGCTTAACTTGCCTGAAAAAGAGGGAGACTCTACCGCATCACCAGAAAAGCTAGCTCACTGGCGAGGCAGTATAAGTTCCCTTTATACTGTCCGCTACACATGTTTTCAATTCTTCTGATAGTTTTATTATCAAAACTTTGTATGGTTTATAGCTTATATTGAGCATACCATTTTCCTCAAATGATGGATTAACTTGCTGCCTGAATGAATCCATTTGTCCAACATCTGAGAATAGCTATTCCTGCAACACAATATATATGCTATGAGATTACTAAATATACATTGTAGAATAAAATGGCATTACATTTGACAAAACAAATTATGCTGCATTGTATATTGTAGTGAATTTATATTGATATAAATGACAAAAAATGTGTTACAAAACTTCTCAGTGAAAGTGAAACCTCTGACATTTACAATAGTTATTGATAGAATATTTTCTATTAAAAAAATTCTAAGTCTCCCCTTTACCAAAATTAATGAAAAAAAAAACAATATGCACTTGCAAACTTTGAAAATGTGAAATGCTTGAGAAGTATACATACCCTGTGGAGAAATGATGCATTTTTATTTATTCACTCTTTAAGCCTGAAACTCTGGACAGCTACAATGATAAAAGTATATTATATAAATATTTTTAATGTACATGTAATCTAAACAAAAAAAGATTTTTTTTTCATTAATTTAGAAATTCTAGAAAATTACAGCCATAGATCTGAAGTGGGGCTTTTATGTTTTCAACACAATGTTACGGATATTTTTTTTAAATTGTGTAGCATCAAATACATCATTGTTTGTTTAGGCCTAGTCACTAGTGAATCATTGTGTGATTGACTGAAACAATGAAAACATCTCATTCAATTTAGTTTAAATTTGTGTTACTGATGATCTCTATTATTACACATATTGTCTCAAAGAAAATGAACTAATTGACAGGAACTCAGTACATATTTAGTGCCACTAATTTTTAATAATTCTAAAAAGTGTGCAACTTAGTATAGGGGGGGGGGGGGGGTTGTTACACACAAGGCTCGCATAATTACAGTTTTTCACTGACTGTACTAATACATTTAAATGAACATGAACACACTCGGGTTTTTTTATGTTAACAAAAGCATGTCTACATATTGTAGATCTACACATGTACCTGCATATGCGTATACATACCTGGCCTGGAATTACAGTCAGCAGTGATTGATCTACGGAGCTAGAGCTGGTGCAAATCGTCTCAGTTTTCTGCTATTTTCCGAAATAATGTCCTCATATTCTTGTAAAATGGAGAAGCAATGCCTTGTCTCTTAATTTATCCCCATTTTCTTTAAAGATTGTGTGGTTATTGCATTTAAATCCACTGCAAATCTCAGCTGATGTCGCCACGTTTTTAGATGTAAACAACATTCCGTGTCATCGAGTGCAAGCGCTTGGCTGAAGCCGAATGCAGACAAACGACACATTAAAAAGAGAATTATTTTAAAGACATGCTATTTTATATACGAGAAAATCACTAATTATTTTCTATTTAAACATAAAGATATTGTTGTTTATTACAAATTGTTGCCAATATCGGTAAATAGTTATTTTGAGCACCATTTCCTTATATGGATCAATCAGGGCGGAGCAACTGTCATGACGTCAGACCTCATTATGACTTCATTACCATATTTTTTTCATGTGTTGCCTTAAGGGGGGACCTATGTCGTTCTACGTCAAATTTGTTGTTTATTACAAATTGTTGCCAATATCGGTAAATAGTTATTTTGAGCACCATTTCCTTATATGGATCAATCAGGGCGGAGCAACTGTCATGACGTCAGACCTCATTATGACTTCATTACCATATTTTTTTCATGTGTTGCCTTAAGGGGGGACCTATGTCGTTCTACGTCAAAGCAGCGTTATGTGACGTCATAATAGCGACGTTTCTTTTTTCCCGCTGACTTTTACAACTGTGATTATAGGCATAACATTAATTGTTATTCATCAATAACGTACACAGTTTACAAAAAAGATTTTTTTTCATCATTTATAACAGTTTTATTTGGTTTATGGAGTTTGTTAATATTAGAATTCTCTTCCTTTGGTTGATAATTCCTAGCAATTTCAGTTGTGAAGAAATACCTCCATGATATGCTGATATAAAAATGCAAAAATTATAAGATAAAATTCAGCAAAGAAAGCGGCTTTAATCAGGGAAATATGTTTGATTTTATGATTATCATTTTTTGTATTTTCTGGATAAAACTAAAAAAAAAAATTAAGAAATGTATGTACTTGTACCTATATTTTAATGATTTATAGTGTATGTAGATTTTATTGTATAAAGTCATTCCTAGGTTCTATTAGGTGTTGGTTGTTGACGGGTGGAGGCAGAATGATTAGAATGAAGAAGAAAAG